TACATCTCAATTTTGAAGGCCAGAATCCATCTGATCTTAGGTGCAGTGCTACCTAGCTTAGAAGCTAAACGGTGGGATTTGGTGAAATACTAAAGGACGTGTCATTAATTTTATAGGAAGTGACACTAAGAAATGGGCCTAAAGTTGCAGACTCAGAATAAGAAGTAAATGAAAATTATGTTCCAGGCTCAGCGCCCGAAGCACAGTGGTAAGGGCGCCAAGCGCATACACCAAGGGGGGCGGGTTCGAACGCCATCCGGTAAGGCTAAACAGTGGCCAACAGCAACAAAAAATAGCCGGGCGTTGTGGCGGACGCCTGTAATCCCAGCTACTGGGGAGGCTGAGGCAAGAGAATCGCTTAAGCCTAAGAGTTGGAGGTTGCTGTGAGCTATGACGGCACAGCACTCTACCAAGGGCGAAATTATGAGACTGTCTCAAAAAAAAAAAAGAAATTATGATCTACACTGTAAGACATTTTACAATTGTGCGTAGTATGTCCATCTATGCATCTGGCGCCTAGCAGGGGCATATCCCTTTGGTAAACGACTGAATGAAAGGGTGAAAAACTGGGCCGGGTGTGGTGGCTCACGCCTGTAATTCTAACACTCTGAAAGGCGGAGGGAGGATTGCTTGAGCTCAGGAGTTTAAAACCTGCTTCAGTTAGAGCGAAACCCTTTACCTAAGAAAACTAGCTGGGCATCATGGTGCACACGCGTAATCTTGAGGCAAGAGGATTGTTTGGGCTTTTTGAGGTGGCACTGAGCTACAACGACGCCACTGCCTTCCACCAAGGGCAACAGAGCCAGACTAAGAAAAAAAAACAAAGAGGAGGGTGTGTGTGAAAACTGCCCGAGTAAAGACCTACCAGTATCAAACTATCAACTTCGGCTTGCCGGGCTTCCTCCTACAACGTAAGTCACGTGGGCTCCAAACGGCGTTTATCGGCAGCCTAGCGCAATACGGTGCGAAGGACCGGTTCGCCGTCCTTATCTTCCGCGGTCAACTTCTTACGGGTGACGCTGGCCAATCCAACAGCAGGTTTCGGCGGGCTGGTCCCTCCGCTCGCCCCCAGCGTCGAGGGGGCGGGGCTGGCGCCCGGGCGCGGAGGCGTCACGCACTCCATGGTAACGACGCTCGGCCGAAGATGGCGGCCGAGTGGGGTGGAGGAGAGAGTTTCTTGGGTTCGGGCCCGGGCCGGAGCTGGTGGAACTGGAGCAGTTCTTTTTGGGTCCAAAGCATTTTATTCCTGTTGGGAGGGCTCCAGACAAGCGCTGCATCTGTTCCTGTCTCCTTGGGCAGCTCCCCTCCATGCCGGCACCACGTTCCCTCGGAGACTGAGGTAGGGCGACTGAGGGGCGGGAGCGGGCCCTCTGAGAGTAAAGTGGTGCGGAAGGAGCTGGCACGGGGGATGGTGATTGCATGTAGGTGTTGTGGAGGAGAAAGCGAAATTGGGATCTGCTATCGCCTGCATACGCCCTGCAGAGTGGCTAAGTTACGCACCCTAGAACATCATCACCTCCCGGTGCGAAGGGTTGTGCTTAGCCGGTAGCCCTAAAGCAGTGGTTTTCAAATTTGAGTGTGCATCAGAGCCACCTAAAGCATTTATTAAAAAGTTGCTGCCCCACTCCTCCATTTTCTGACTCATTAGGTCCAGGTAAGTCCCCAGAATTGGCAATTCAGGTTTCCAGAATGTTGGTGATGGTGCTTGTCCGAGGACTACTTTGAAAATCCCTGACCCTTTAGCTTTTAGTTTGGGGAAGAAATTGATAAGAGAGCCAGCCGAAGGCGTTGGAGGGATGTTGGGGGTTCTCTGGAGACAAAATTCAGGTTTATTTTCAAGTAATTTCGTCCTTCTTGCTTTATCTTGTTCCTCTGTCCTACCTGCTTCCCATTCCATTTTCTCCTTGTCAGTTCTTTAAGTCTTATCTCAAGTTCCCTACCCTCAAGGCAGCCTGCTGAAACCACCCTAGCAGTATGTTCTTTCCATTTCACAATATGCTTTCTCTTTACTCTCTTCTGGCACTTAACCAAGTACTACTACGTGGTGATGTCTTATTTTAGGCATGTCTTGCCTTTGTAGTCAAATTGTAAGCTTCCTTGAGTTAAGTTTTGTGTCTTAAACTTCGATTCCATCACAGCAATGATGGTTTTCAAAAATGTTAACTTGTATACTGTTCATAACCATGTGAGCCAAAATATTAATAATATTGGGATTTGTAGCTTTATCACAGATTTTATCATGACACTGCATTTTTGTTGATTTATATATTTATTTATTTTGGGGACAGTTTCACTTTATCTCCCTCGGTAGAGTGCTATGGCATCATAACTCACAGCAACCTCAAAGTTTTGGGCTCAAGTGATTCTTTTGCCTCAGCCTCCCAAGTAGCTGGGACTACAAGCATCTGCCAGAACACAGATATTTTTAGGGATAAGGTCTCCCTCTGGCTCAGGCTGGCCTGGAACCTTGTGAGCTCAGGCAGTCCACCCACCTCGACCTCCCAGAGTGCTAGGATTACAAGCGTGAGCCACACTCCCAGCCCTTGGTTGAATTTTTTTTAATCCCACAACACCCACAGAATTTTGCATTTCAAAATAAGAGAAAGTAGTTCAAACAACTGCAAAATTTCTGTGCTACAAAGAACCTTAGTAGCTCTTTTCTTTTCTTTTTTTGTTAGACAGAGACTCACTCTGTCGCCCAGGATAGAATGGCTTCATTATAGTTCACAGCAACCTCAAACTCTTGGGCTTGAGCAATCCTCTTGCCTCAGCCTCACTAGTAGCTGCACCACTACACTCAGACTAGGTTTTCTATTTTGCATAGAGGGGGGTCTCACTCTTGTTCGGGCTAGTCTAGTCCTGAGCTCAAGCAATCCACCTACCTGTCTTGGCCTCCCAGAGTGCTGGGATTACAGGCATAAGCCACCGCACCCAGCTGTTTTCTTCTAGTACCTCTATTGCTGGTGTACGGATCTCCAGGCTGAGGCAGGAGGCTCGCTTGAGCCCAGGAGTTGGAGGTTGCTGTGAGCTGTGATGCAGTCTATCCAGGGGGACAGCTTGAGGCTCTGTCTCAAAAA